ACAGTCGTCTGTGACTCCAGTTCCCGGGTATCTGACACTCTTTTCTGGCTCCTTGGGCACCAGGAACACAAACTATTTCACAGACACTCATGCAGGCAAAACAGCCATTCACAAAAAAAAAAAAAAAAAAAAAAAAAGAAATGTGCTTTGGTCTTCTGCATCTTAAGGCCTCTGGTATCTCTTTCTGCGATAAGAGCAACAACTTCTATGCAGTCTCCAGAGTTTTCTAAGATTTCACTAACTCTGGGAAGATATGGAAGTCTCTTAATTTCCTCATCTGTAATTCCCGCCCGCTTCTGTAGTAATAGACCTCCTTTGGTAGCCTGTAGTTCAAGTTAAATGGGCATCGGTTGTTTAGAAGAATAAGTATACTTCCAATGGACCCAGCAAGATGGCTCAGTTAGTAAACGTGCTTGCTGCCAAGGCTGATGATCTGAATCCAATTTCCAGGACCCACGTGATGAAGGGAGAGAACCGATTCATACAGATAGAGTTTCCAGATTTCCTTAAAGATAGGCAGGACTCTATGGGTTAAGTTCTGATTAGTGAAATGCCATGTAGGAGTGTAGCTGATTTTTGAGAACATTCTTTTTAAAAGGAGGGCTTCTGGGGCTAGAGAAATGGCTCAGCAGTTAAAAGCACTTGTTCTTGCAAAGGCCCTAGATTCGAGTCCCAGCACCTCCATGGTGGTTCACAACCACCATAACTCCAGTTCCAGGACTATGGACACACGAAGTACATCCACACATGTGCCAACAGAACAATCATAATCATAAAACAAAACAAACCATGCAAGGGGGCACCTGGCGTGCTGACCTCTACTCTTCCTATTTCTGTGTTGACGCTTCCTTCATCCTAATGTCTGGAATGAAGACGCGATGGTTGGAGCTAGAGCAACCATTTGGCTAGCAGGAAGGAAGCTCTGGAGCATGTGAACTTGTGGTCTTAAGCTACTGTGTCACTTTTACCCCAGACTTCTCCATTAGGGCAGATCTTCCCAGAGAACTAAATTTCTAACTTGGGGTCTCATTTTCAATCAGTCCTAACTTTGACCCCTAGGTCTTTCCTAATTCTTCACATCTGCGTTAGCGGGATATCCTTGACGTCCAGAGTACTCTGTGCTTTACACTGAAAGAGGCCACCTTTTTGTGCTTGAGGTCAGTGACTTCCGTTGTTTTCTTCTATTTTTTNCCCCCCCCCCCCCCCCCCCCGCCCCCCCCCCCCCCCCCCCCCCCCCCCCCCCCCCCCCGCCACCCCATTCACTTCTCTGTCTCCATTCAGAATGAGTAAGGCCTCCCATGGGAGTCAACAAAGCATGATATATATCAAGTTGAGGCAGGACCAGGCTCCTCCCCCTTGCATCAAGGCTGGGCAAGGCATCCCACCTTAGGGAATAGGTTTCAAAGAGGCAGCTCATGTGCCAGGGAACGGTCCTGGTCCCAGGGCTAGGGGCCCTACAGAAGACCAAGCTACACAACTGTCACACACATGCAGAGGGACTATGCTGGCCCCATGTCTACTCCCTAGCTGTTGATCCAGAGTCTGAGAGCTCCTATAAGCTCAGGTAGCTGTTTCTGTGGGTTTCTCTGTGATGATCTTGACTCCCCTTGGCCTTATAACCCCTCCTCCCTCTCTTCAACTAGACTCCCAGAGCTTGGCCCAGTGCTTGACTGTGGATCTCTGAATCTGCTTCCATCAGTTCTTGGATGAAGGCACCAGCAACACAGGCACTGATGCAAAGGACACAGTCCATAAGACAATACAGCAGCCTACAGCATGGGAAAAGATCTGCACCCACCCCACATCTGACAACGGACTGATCTCCAAAATATATAACGAACTCAAGAAACTAGACACCAAAATACCAAATAATCCCATTTAAAAATGGGCTACAGATTTAAACAAAGAATTCTCAACAGAAGAATCTCGAATGACTGAGATACACTTAAAGAGTTGTTCAACATCCTTAGCTATCAGGGAAATGCAAATCAAAAGAACTCTGAGATACCATCTTACACCTGTGAGAATGGCTAAGATCAAAAATGCTAATGACAGCCTATGTTGGAGAGGATGTGGAGTAAGAGGAACACTCCTCCACTGCTGGTGGGAATGCAAACTTACTTTTTTTTTTTTTTTTTTTTGAGACAGGGTTTCTCTGTAGCTTTGGAGCCTGTCCCGGAACTAGCTCTTTTAGACCAGGCTGACCTCGAATTCTGAAAGAGCTGCCTGTCTCCGCCTCGCAAGTGCTGGAATTAAAGGCTTGCGAATGCAAACTTGTACAGTCACTTTGGAAAGCAGTATGGCAGTTTTCTCAGAAAATTGGGCATCAATCTACCTCAAGACCCAGAGATACTACTCTTGGGCATCAAAGGATGCTAAATCATACCACAAGAACGCTTGATCAACTATGTTCATAGAAGCATTATTCATAATAGCCAGAACTTGGAAACAACCTAGATGCCCCTCAACTGAAGAATGGATAAAGAAAATGTGGTATATCTACACAATTGAGTTTTACTCAATGGGGGGGGTGTGACATGAAATTTGCGGACAAATAGATGGAACTAGAAAAAAACTATCCTGAGTGAGGCAATCAGACCCAGAAAGACAAACACAGTGTGTACTCACTCCTAAGTGGATATTAGATGTAAAGCAAAAGATAAGCAGACTACAGTTCACAGCTCCAGAGAAGCAAGGTAACAGGAAGGATCCTAAGAGGGATGCATGGATCTCCCTGGGAAGAGAAGACAGGTGAGATGTCCTGGGTAACCTGAGGTTGGGGAGTGGAGGAAAGGGGACTGGGGATGAGAACACGAGGAATCAGGATGGTCAAGTTGGGGGTGGAACAAAGGCGAGAATAATAAAAGAGATATCTTGATACAGGGGGCCATTATGAGGTCAGGGAGAAACCTGGTGCCAGGAAAACACCCAGGAACCCAAAGATTCCTAGCAATAACGGAGAGATACCTGACCTGACCTTCCTCTGTAATCAGATTGGTGACTACCCTAATTGTTTTGTACTATTTTTACATCTTCAACATTTGAGTACTTTGTAGGGGGTGTTCAGAAGATTTATATGGATGAATGAAGAAATATGGGTGGATTAATCCAAATACGCTGCTGTTGGCTTGAGGGTCAAATGACAAAAAAGGGATTGCAATATTTGTTTTCTTCTCTGCTTGTCACCTTCCCTAGTGATCCTCAAATGCAGGGGAAGCCTGAAGACACAAGCCTTATTTTTTTTATATATCCAGTGAGTGAGATCCTTTTAGCCTCTTCCTGGGCTCAGAAGTAATCCCTGTGAACCTCTACACCCATCTGGGCCTAACTCTTATTTCTTCAGTTCACAGGGGTCTCTCTCTTCAGGTTCCTGCAAAGTCTTTTGTTTTGTTTTGTTTTGTTTTCAAGACAGGGTTTCTCTGTAGCTTTGGAGCCTATCCTGGAACTAGCTCTTGTAGTCCAGGCTGGCCTTGAACTCACGGAGATCCACCTGCCTCCGAGTGCTGGAATTAAAGGCGTGAACCACCACTGCCCTTCCTGCAAAGTCTTTGTGGGCGTGGCATGAACAAAGTACCAGAGACTTTGCAGGTCAGGAGAAATTAAGGATTTTGGTTTGAGGAGGTGGCTTCAGAAGGCTGGATCCTTGGTGTGACCTTGCCAGAGGCCAGGAGGCTGACACTGTCCACCCAATAGTCAGTGCCCTCATATTTCATCTGCTAATCAAATGATCGCTTGCCTTTGTCCTCTGTCTTACAGCGCCCAACCCCAGTCCGTATTTACCCACAATGGTTGCTGCAAGTTCAACCCTTGAGGGAAAATACTTTGTGGATTTAGCTATAAGTGACGCACACAATTTGATCCCAACAGCAGAACTACACAATATTTGTATCTGCAAAACATCATACACAACAAATGTCCTAACAGAATGCCTACAAAGTGTAAAATGTTACTTTCTTTAGGAAAAGTGGTCTCTTAGAGGGGAGAGCGAGTTTCTTTGACAGGGGTGGGCATGAGTTTACAGAACCGCTGCTGTGGGTACAAGGCCTAGCACAGAGATTTCTGCAGGAAAGTGCCACCCGTTCAGTATTTCCTAGGTCCACCAAACCTGGTGCTGGGACAGGTAGCTTAAAGCGACAGAATCCCTTGAGAGGCTGATAGTTTATTTACTGGGAAATGTAAACAAATGGAAGAAGCCAGGAGCAGGCCTGGGACTGCTCCCAGTGTGAAGTCTGGGGCGCGGGTTAAAGGGAACCAAAAGGAGCAGAATCTGAAACTGGACCCAAACAACCTTAAAAGTTTTTTGCTAACGTTACCTTTTGGTCTCCCCACTGATTTCCACTCCTTGCGTGGAGCACACTGTGGGGATTTTCACTCTGAGCACTCTTGGTCACAAATCTATTACAGTCCTAGTAACCTTAGGCCTGCCTGGAGAAGAGCCTGCCCTCTTCCCTCCGTCCCTGATGACATTCCCGTGACTACTGGAGCGCTGGGCACATTTTACCTGGCTGCTGAGGACTTCTCTCGGCTCGTGGTTGTCTATGAGCCATCACTGGGCACAGGCCTCTGAAGTCCTTTCCTTCTACTGGAAGCCATCCTTGGCCCAGACTGTTCTGTTCTGCCTGGTCACTTCCTTTCCGTAGCTGAGGAGGTAATTTCAGGGCTCCTGTGAATCTTAGGAAGAGCCTTCAGGAAAGAGGCTCCCGGATATCGTCCTTATGCCCGGGCTTGAGACCAGAGCCATGTGGACTTGGAATGATGTCATCTCAGTTTTCTACCTCCCTTTTTACAAAATAGTTTTAACTAAAATTGAATTATGTCACTTCCCCCTTCCCTTTTTATCCTCTAGCCCCTCGCAAGTCCCTTCCCTCAAGCTCCTTCCACACCTCCCACTCTTAAATTGATAGCCTCTTTTTTTATTATTGTTAGACACTCGCACATGTGTATATATATATATATATGCACATATATACGCACAAATATATTAAATACAAGTTGCTGAGTCTGTTTTTATTGCTTGTGGGTATATGGCTTCAGGGCTGACTACTTTGTGTTGGCTACCCAGTAAAGAGGCTCATCCCGGGAAGAAGCTAATTCTCCTTCTCTCAGAAGTTCTTTTTCTAGGGATGGGACCCATGAGATATCCCCAGTTCTGTGTTAGCATGTCTGTTGAAACTGGCATTGTCTGGTCTTGTTTATGCAGCCATTTCTAGGGGAGACTGTTTCAGAGCAGACTTCCTGACATGCTGGTTCTTACCATCTTTTTGTTTCCTCTTCTGTGATGTTCCCCGAGCTGTAGATGCAGGAGCTGTGCTGTATGGGTTTCCACTGGGGCTGGGTGGATCCACTGATCTCTACATTGTGTCCAGCTGTGTTTTCCACCGTGGGCTCTATTTGCTGCAAAGAGAAGCTTCCTCCTCCTCTTTTGTTTTTTTTTTTTTGAGACAGGGTTTCTCTGTGTAGCTCTGACCATCCTGGAATTCCCTCTCTAGACCAGACGGGCCTCGAACTTAGAGATCCACCTACCTCTGCCTTTTGAGTGTGGGGATTATAGGCGTGAGCCACCACTGTCTGGCTAATAGAAGCTTCTTTGATGAGGAGTGGTAGCTACCCTTACCTGCAAGTTTAAGAATACTATTTAAAATGTAATTGGGAGTTATGCTGGTCTAACAAAGTGGTAGCAACAGATTCTCGTCTATGATCCATGACCTCATTAGTTTCAGGAAGCTGGGCTAGGTTTCTAACATGTGGTGTGATTTTGCTGCTGTTGAGTGCTGTTAGCTACCACCAATGTGAGAGCCACTCTTGTGCCTTTATGGATATTTTGCCATAATACTGTTGTGCTTCATAGGCATTGCAGCTGGTTACGTGTCTTGCCTTCTTTCACTGTGAAATGGAGAAGGCAGTATCCATCTCATGTGATGTGATTTCCCACAAGAATATGAGCTGAGCCCCGTTGTCACCATCACCACATTCATCTCATTCTTCACTATCACAACCGTCCTTTATCATCACCAAGATCAAAAGCAGTGCTATCTCTCTTCTGTTTGCTTTGCTTCTGTTCATCCAGAGAGCATCCCACCAGAAGAACTTCAAGGCCCACATTTATAGGATCCTGTCTTCTTGTTTTTATTTCTGGAATTGCAGTCCTGAAGCACAGGGCACAGATAGAATACCTGAAGACAAAATCAGTGATCCTTTTAAAGACGTTATCAGTGATTGTTTCCAGACATGCATTTACTCTGTAGCCCAGGCTGGTACTCACTATGTACCCTAGGTTGGCCTTAAACTTATGCTGATCCCCCAGCCTCAGCTTCTCAAGCACTGGACTAGATAGCACAAACTGCCTTATCCAACTGCATTAACTGATTTAATGCCAGTTCAAGCTGTTCAGTTAACCTCCTTTTTATTGTTAGCTAGTTCCAGGATAGGCTCCAAAGCCACAGAGAAACCCTGTCTCGAAAAACAAAAAAACAAAAACAAACAAAAAAACTACATTCAAAATGTCTTCTGAAAATGCCTAACAAATATCAAAATAGACAAAGTGAGTACTTGAATCCTCTCCTCCCATTTCATAAGGGCAAATGTTTTTATTAATATAGTATGAATTCTTTTGGCTATTTTTTCATTATACATTTAAAAATCAGAATACTGGATATTCTGTAATGGTAGAATAAAAAGTTGAGTATGTATGTGTATGGTGTGGGTATGTGCACATGACAGTATGCATGTGCATGGTGTGGGTATGTGCACATGACAGCATGCACGTGGAGGTCATAGAGAACTTGCAGAAGTCAGTTCTCTCCCTCTGCCATGTGGGTCCCTGGCTGGAATTCAAGTGGTCAGGCTTGGGGCTGGAGAGATGGCTCAGAGGTTAAGAGCACTGCCTGCTCTACCAAAGGTCCTGAGTTCAATTCCCAGCAACCACATGGTGGCTCAAAACCATCTGTAATGGGGTCTGGTGCCCTCTTCTGGCCTGCAGGCATAGACACAGACAGAATATTGCATACATAATAAATAAATATAAAAAAAATCCAGGTCAAGGTACTTGGAAGCAAGTACCTTTACCTGAGGACCCATCTTCCATAGCGGTAGAAACTTTTTAAAAGTTATGATTTTAAAACCTTGTGGTCAGTACACTTGGTGCTTATTCGGTGTACAGTTCAAGTGTTAAGGGGAGTTACGTTGATGTGAAACAAGGTCTCCCACACTTGTTTGTCCTCCAAATCCTAAACTCTACATCCACTAAATAACAGCTCTCTCTTGCCCATCTCCCTACTCTGGCTAACAACCATTCTATTTTCTACATCTGTGAGTCGGATTCACTCCGCGGGCTCACACAAATGGAAGAATACTGTAGTTGTTCTTCTCTGAATGACTTCACTTGGCATAGTGTCTGTTAGAATTGTCTTCCTTTATAATAAGGCTGCTTACTATCCCACTGTAAAACCCACATTTTCTTCATCTTTCCACCTACTTTAGAAAAGCTTTGGTTTCTCATGATGGTATTGTCAGAATCCGGTGCTAGCCTGGACCATAAATTATTTCTCTACCAGACCCCAAAATAAACTATCTTTCTCCGGACCAGCGTGAGGAGACGGGAATAAAGACACGACTCACACGGTTTCATCGGGAGGGAGATTCTCAGAGATTCCTCTTGATATCCCGAAGAATTCCTCTCGTTTATTCTCCAAACTGTCTTTATACCAAAACTTAACTTAGGGGAAATACATTAGCATTCTGTCTCCTAGGTAACCAGGTGAATGGCTTTTCTTCATGTCCACAACTACCTGTCTGCTCTGTCTGCTGCGTATGCTAGCTGTCATGTAGGCTTGAATTAACATCTCTATCAGGCATCCTCCAAATTACAGAGAAAGAAGCAAAACCACATCCTGACCTTTTGTTAGGTAGTGATGGCCTGTCTGGCAGGAGACGTGACTGCTTGGGATATCCACCATGGCCCGAGAACTTGGCTGTCACACCATGTGGAAATATGGGCCTTCATGGTATGAACATGAACAGGCAAACATCTCAAAAAAGGAAAGGACACGTAATGATGAGTACTAGCTGTCATCTTGACAGGACCTGGGATGACCTGAGGGTGTGCCTTTGAGCCCTGGGTGATGACCCTTTAGGTGAATTGCTGTGGGAAGACCCATCTTACTGTAGGTGGGACCATTCTCTGGGCAGGGTTCCTGGCATGCATAAAGTGGAGAAAGTTGCTTCTCACTAGCAAGCATTCATTGCTCCCTGTTTCTTGAACGCGATGTACCCTGGCCAGCTGCTTCAAGCTCCTTCTGCCTTGAGGTTCCCAGCATAATGGACTGTATCTCGAACTGCAGTCCAGAAAAACAAAAGAAAACCCCTTTTCCTTAAGTTGCTTTTGTCCAAGTATTTTGTCACAGGAACAGGAGAAGAAACTAGGAAAGGAAGGAAGAAGTGAGGAATGAGTCACTCTTGACTGGGAGTGCGCGTGAATAGTAGAGTTTGTAAGCAAAGTTGCTGTTTCAACCCTTGGGAAACAGAAAAGCAGACAAAGGAAGCCATTTCAATGCCTCTGGGGTGCATGGTCTGCACAGGGAAGATTCTGGACGGGGAAGCTAATAGGGAAGGCTGCAATAGTTAGGACAACCAAAAGATCCAGAGTAGAAATAAATTAAAAAGGAGTGGAAGAGGTATTTGGAGACATTATCTGCCAGTAAATTGTTAGAAAGAGGGTGAGAGCAAAGCAAAAAAGAATCCTCCTCAGGAGGCAGAGGCAGGCGGATCTCTCTGAGTTCGAGGCCAGCCTGGTCTACAAGAACTAGTTCCAGAATAGGCTCCAAAGCTACAGAGAAACCCTGTCTTGAAAAACCAAATAAAAAAGGAATTCTCAGATTTGTAATTTGTGGATTAATGGATGAAAGATGTGGGCAACTAGGAGGAAGCCTGCAATCTTTAATTCCACATTGGTTCCTTATTAGCTGTGATCCTTAGTCCCTTATTAGTTCCTCTTCTTTCATACGGATAGTAGGTTCTTGCTTCGTGTTTTGTAAATTAGTAAGCAGACAGCATCCATCTTCTGAACCTCTTCTAGTGAAATTTCCTTGCCAAAGATATTTCTACACAATTGGCATGTGGGGACATCAGTGCATGTATGGGAAACAAGACCAGAATTAACTTAAGGACAAATGAGATTTGTGATAAGTCTTGTCAACTTGAGATTTAGAATTGGCTAGGAGACAAAACTGCGCAGGTCTGTGTGAACATTTCAAGAGAGGAAGGTAATATTGTTTAATGTGTCAGATTTTTTTTTTTCCTACCAGGCCAAAAGAGAACAAGTCAGAATAGGTTCGTTCCCGTCTTCAGGGTAAGTGAGGGAGACAATAAACATTTTGGGTAGTTGTATCATCAAGAGTGACCACATGTGGTGTGGCACACACCTGTCATATCTCAGTATTTGGCAAGCTGAGGCAGGAGGATTTTGAGGCCAGCCTGAGCTGCATAGGAAGACTTTGTCTTAAAAGCAAAACAAAACAACAGTAACAACAATAGCAAAACCCAACCAACTAAGCTACTCAAACCAAAAGTCAAACAAGGGGGGTAGTGATAAGAATAATGGGAAAGGCCAGGAGTAGACAGGATGGTGGTGACTCACGATTTCAAGAAAGCCCTCTTAAACAGGTGTCGTGTGGGCGGGTCTAGAGGAAGGAGAAATGGTGTGCTAGTTGCCCACCCGAGATCAGCAAGGGCACACAAAAGATGAGTTGAACCCGAGTCGTCTGTTGGCCTAGACTTTCGAGAGAGTGCTCAAGCAGAGTCTGGGAACTGGCCGTCCAGTTAGGCTCCCGTCCTGCGCCCGCACTGTGCTAGGGGGCTGGGGAGCCGAAGCGACAGGGCTGCCTAGCGTGGTAAACCCCGTCTGGCTGTGTGTGTTCGGGGCACCGTCTGGGTGCGAAAGGGTGCGAGAGCGAAGACTTCGGCGTGGCCACGGGCGAACGAGACCCGCGCGGCTCAGCCGAGACCGAGACCGACGCGCGTGCTGCGTCACAAAGCGCGCCGTGGGCGCCCGATTCCGGAGCAGAGCCGCAGGAGGCGGGCGGTGCCCACCGCGGGCACGCGACGCCCTCTGCAGGCCGCAGGCGGCAACACGGGTAGCTTCATCCTCCGCTCTTCCCGCCTCTTCCCCCGGCTACATTTTCCCCCGCACTCCACCCAACCCCAGAGCGTCAGCCTCCGACTTCCGTTCGTCCCCTCCACTTCCAGGCCAAGTGTGTCCGTGTCTTCTCCAGGATACTGACAATAAAGTTTTTTCTCTTCTCGCTCCCAGGAGCCCCGCCTCAACTCTAACTATCGCGAGATCTGGAGGCGCGGCTACCATGGCGGCGGCATTTGAAGCCCCGGCGGCCCTGGCAACCGCGGAGTCAGCTATGGCTGCGGAGCGTGAGCCCGTGCCGGTCCCGGCTGCGGAGCCAACCCCCGGCTCCCCGTGGAGCTTGCGGACGGCTCACGACATCGGCGGGCCGCGGACGCGTACAGGGGACGTGGTGCTGGCGGAGCCGGCGGATTTCGAGTCGCTGCTGCTGTCGCGGCCCGTGCTGGAGGGGCTGCGGGCGGCCGGCTTCGAGAGGCCGTCTCCCGTGCAGCTCAAGGCCATCCCGCTCGGGCGCTGCGGGCTCGGTGAGGACCGGGGTCAGCCGGGGGAGCTCCGGGGCGGCGCCGTGGCGGGGCTCGGCGAGGCTCCGGGCGCGCGATGGAGTTTGAAGATGTTTAAGACTTTGTAGCATCGAGTCCACGTTGGAGACGGTCATCGGTAGAGAGATTCGGGGGCCAAGGGGCTGAAGAAATGGCTCTGGTTGAGTCAGGGATCATCAAGCACGCTATGTGCGCGTTTGAGAGTCAACTAAAAGTACTGGTGACACCTAGGTGGTCTTAGGAGAGAGCCTGGTCATTCTCTGATCTCATATTTATCTCTAGTTTCTTCAGTGAATCTAGCTAATGATAAGTATTTTGTTTCTTCCTCAGATTTAATTGTTCAAGCCAAGTCTGGCACTGGGAAAACTTGTGTATTCTCCACCATTGCTCTAGACTCTCTTATTCTTGAAAACTATAGTACTCAGGTGAGTTTAATACGGAGGGGATCCAGAGGGGGGTGTGTAGGCACGTGGACTCTAGCTAGACTTAGGAAAAACTACAGACTCCACACAGATGGTGAGTTTGATGAATGAAGCCAAACCATTTGAAAATTACAGAAGTAAACTAGATGGTAAGATCGTTGAGTTGTGGCCAAGAGTATCATTATTTTTCAAATTTGGAATTATCTATAACATCTTGAACATTTGTCAACTAAAATCATTACGCAATTAAAAACTTTCACTTGATAAACTGGGGTTAGACCTAGAAGGTAAAAGTTTCGGTTTATTTAATATGCTATGGCAAATTTTGTGTGGTTGTGCTTTTTTTGAGACAGGGTTTCTCTTTGTAGCCTTGGCTGACCTAGAACCTGCTGTGTAGACAGGTTGGCCTCGAACTCACAAGAGATTCGCCGTCTCTGTCTCCCAGTTCCTAGGATTAAAGGTGTATGCCATCACCGGCAGGCTTCACGTGGTTCTGTTTTCTTTCTTTTCTAAAAATGTTATGATTGCTCTGTCTGCAAGTACACCTGCATGCCAGAGGAGGGCATCAGATCCCATTATAGATAATGGTGAGCCACCATGTGGTTGCCTCCAGGACACACCCCTACCCCTGCCCAGTGGTTCTTAAAATCTTTTGTGTGCATTGTATTGATCTTCCAATTTTCCAATTTTAGGTTGTTTTGGATTGGTTTTAAGATTGTCCTATGGTCAGCCGGGTGGTGGTGGTGCACACCTTTAATCCCAGCACTCGAGAGACAGAGGCAGGCGGATCTCTGTGAGTTTGAGGCCAGCCTAATCTACAAGAGCTAGTTCCAGGACAGGCTCCAAAGCTACAGAGAAACCCTGCTTCAAAAAACAAAACAAAACAAAAAAAGGTTGTCCTACTCAAATTAGTAGGAAATTTGGGTTTGGGAGATCATTCTTCAAAAAGATTTGTTCAGCCAGTATTACATATAAATACTACATTAGGCACTGGGAATTAAACAGTCAATTGGATATGATCTTCCCACCATCTTCTGGAGTGTAGTAGTTGTGGTTGACTTTATTTCAAGTTCAAGAAGTGACTGCCGGGCTGGAGAGATGGCTCAGTGGTTAAGAGCACTGGCTGCTCATCCAAAGGTCCAGAGTTCAATTCCCAGCAACCACATAGTGCCTCACAATCATCTGTAATGAGATCTGGTGCTCTCTTCTGGCCTGCAGGCATACTTGCAGACAGAATACTGAGAACATTGTATCCATAATAAATAAATAAATAAATCTTTTTTTTTAAAAAAGTGGCTGCCATGAAGATGAATCTTTAAAAGTGCTGTTTTTTTTTTTTTTTTTTTTAAACCCAGAATCCTTGTATTTGTCATCTAGGAACCTCTTTGAGTTCTTTAGTTCTGTATCTACCAAATTCTAGGAGATATTGAATATACTTCTTAAGGACAGTGGCTAGTCTATTTGTAAATTAGGGTGTGTTTGAGAGTTTTGACTTGAGATACTTGGCAGCAGACCAAATTCTAAACCTAGGTTTTTTGGTTTTGGTTTTGGTTTTTGGTTTTGGTTTATTTGAGACAGGGTTTCTCTGTAGCTTTGGCGCCTGACCTAGAATTAGCTCTTGTAGACCAGGCTGGCCTCGAACTCACAGAGATCAGCCTACTTCTTTTTCCCGAGTGCTGGGATTAAAGGTGTGCGCTACCACTGCCTGACACTATTTGAATTTTTTTAAAAGACTACTTATTACTTGTTATTACAAATATATATATCTTGTTTATATGAAGAGTACCAGGAGAGCAATTCTTTCACAACTTAGATGTTTTCTCCCATACAGTAGGTTCTTAATAATTAATTGAATAAATAAATGGATTGCTGGTTTTTTTGCTGTTTTTTTGGTCTTGAAGCTCCTCTTTTAAAATGAAAAGTAGCACAGCATGCAATGAATGTATCACTCGTGTGTTCTTCTGGCTTGTTAAAGTAATATTTTACAATTTGTTTTAGATTTTGATATTGGCTCCTACAAGAGAAATTGCTGTTCAGATACATTCTGTTATCACAGCCATTGGAATAAAAATGGAAGGGTTAGAATGTCACGTCTTTATTGGAGGGACCCCGTTATCGCAAGACAAAACAAGACTTAAAAAGTGTCATATTGCTGTTGGCTCTCCTGGTAAGTTGTTAATATCTGTCGGTAGCTGAAGTTCTTGAGGAGGGGAGCATTGACTGTGACCATAGCTAAACAGGAGTCTTTGATGATGGCAATAATTACTTTCACTAGAAGTGAAGAGCGTTAGACCAGTGAGACACATGGCCGGATTATCAACAGAATCTGTTCATCTCCGTCCTGAAGCGTGTTTGAGAATACATGGGACAGGCTTCTGACATATGACGTGACTTTCAGGAAGCCTGTCTAAGTTATGGATTGAGACTTTTGTTGTTGTCTTTGGTGATTTGCTCATAAATCACTCAATGTAGAATTCAGTGCCTTTGCATTCAAGTCTTGATAACAGTGATGTTCGTTTTCCCTATTTATCAGGAATGAGAAGTGAGAGGGGGGTAAAGAATGGATTCAGCAAGATGAGAATTTAAGAGTACTAAGATTGTGAGTTAGTATGTGAATGCACACTGAGAAAATTCTTCAGTGTAACCTGTGGATAAATACTGTAAAGCATTCTTGAGGTTTGAACAGATTTGACATGAATATTTCAGGTTTTGTTGTTTTCCTGGCATCTAGGTAGAATTAAACAGCTGATAGAACTTGACTACCTGAATCCGGGCAGTATCCGTCTCTTTATTCTTGATGAAGCAGATAAGCTTTTAGAAGAAGGCAGTTTCCAGGAGCAAATAAAGTAAGAGAACTACTTGATTATAAAAATGTTGTGTCCAAATGTGTCTTTAACTTTTCCAGGTTGCTGTCTGCATAGTTTTCATTGTCTGTGTTTTCTTGTATGTTACAGTTGGATTTACTCTTCTTTACCTGCTAGTAAACAGATGTTGGCAGTATCTGCTACTTACCCTGAATTTTTGGCTAATGCTTTGACAAGTTATATGAGAGATCCCACATTTGTAAGGTTGAACCCCAGTGACCCGAGCCTCATAGGTATGTATAGGTTTCAGGTAATGCTAGTCTGTGACATTGTGGCCTTCCCTTGTCTGACTGACTGTGACTGCGTCATAGTTGCCACTGGAAGTCACCAGATGTGCTTGTTTTAACTGGGGACTTTTGACTTCTTTGTAGGTTTGAAGCAATATTACCACGTGGTTAATTCTTACCCTTTGGCGCATAAGATTTTTGAGGAAAAGAGTCAGCATTTACAGGAACTTTTTAGTAGAATCCCATTTAATCAAGCCTTGGTGTTTTCTAATTTGCACAGCAGGTAATAACTTAATCCAGGGAATTTTAAAAAAACAAAAACAAAGAATAGGCATGAGGCAATAGTTGAAAGTTGTAAATCTTTTTCTTTTTTCTTTTTTTTTTTCTTGTAGAGCTCAACATTTGGCTGATATCCTTTCTTCTAAAGGTTTTCCTACTGAATGCATTTCAGGCAAGTTTCAGCTCTTTGTCTTTGTTTAATGTGTTGCCTTGAAGCCTTCCACATCAAGGGAGAAAAAAATCACTTCTTGAATTGTTTCACGAGTGCGAGACTACACTCATAATAAAGGAAATTTGGGCTTATTCTTCTTCATTGGAATTTGATATCAGTCTCCTGGAATCTTTTAAATTAAATTAAAATTTTTTAAAGAAATAACTTGGTCTGTAGTAACAATTTAGAAAATCGGTGATCAGAGATACTTAAATTCTCTTAAATACTTTAATAATCCATTATTAAAATGCCAAATTTTAAGCAGGGTATGATTTTGCATGTACTCTAGAGGCTAGAGCAGAAAGGTCATGGGCCTGAGGCCATATTTGACTATGTTAACTTTAGGACCAGTGTGGGTGGCATAGCAAGACCCTGTCATAGAAAAGCATGCTAATAACTAGCTGAGTTATCTTCTCTGCTGCCCTATCTTGGCC